AAAAAAAAAAAAAAAAAAAAAAAAAATAAGTCCCAGGAACAAAGCCTGTCCAACCTGATCACAGTAAGGACAAAAGAAAGGGAGGTAGCCAGGTCGCATGTCTATGGGTCTTGTGTCGGTATGAGTGTGGAACCAAATGATCCAACTCTCGGCTACTTCTCATCAGCTAAGGGGGAACACCCCACCACCCAGTGAGGTGAGCATGATGATAGCATGGAAGGGAACCTTCTCTTTTATGCTGCTGGCTGAGAACAGTGGCATTTAGAAGTTGCACTGGGATACAGGAATCTCTCTGCTAATCCTCAAATCCTGCCCTCAGGGAGGGGATGGAAAGATGAAGGAGCTGAAGGAGCTCCCTAAGGATAAGCTTCTACTTGTGTGGCAAGTCGCCCTGGCTCATGCCTACAATCCCAGCACTTTCGGAGGCCAAGGAGGGTGGATCCTTGACATCAGAAGTTTGAGACAAGCCTGGGCAATATGGTGAAACGCTCTCTCTACTAAAAATGCAAAAATTACCCAGGGGTGGTGGCACATGCCTGTAGTCCCAGGTATTTGGGAGGCTGAGACACAAGAATCCCTTGAAAAACCTGTGAAGTCAAAGCGACAGTGAGCCGAGATGGCACCACTGCATTCCAGCCTGGGCAACATAGCGAGACTGTCTCCAAAAAAAAAGATTCTGTTACACCAGGACCACAGTCACATTCCCATGTGTTCTGGTTGATATTAAGATTATAAGACTATGTGTATATATTTTAAATCAGAAGTGATTGCTGGATACAAGATTCAAAAATATTCCGCTAGTTAAACAAAAAATTTTTAGAGATGGGATCTCGCTGTTTCCCAGGATGGATTTGAACTCCTGGATTCCTGTGATCCCCCCACCTCAGCCTCTTGAGTGGTTGGGACTACAGGGACATATGCCACTATGCCCAGCCATGTTCTGCCAGGTATTAAAAGCCATCATGAGATTAATATTGGTGACAAAAAGTCCAGAGTTTGGCCAGCTGTGGTGTGTCACACCTGTAATTCCAGCAGTTTGGGAGGCTGAGGTGGGAGGATCACTTGATGTCAGGAGTTCATGACCAGCCTGGCCAACATGGTGAAACCCTGTCTCTACTAAAAAAAAAATTAGCTGGGTGAGGTGGCACGTGCATGTAGTCTGAGCTACTCTGGAGGCTAAGGCACGAGAATCGCTTGAACCTGGAAGGTGGAGGTTGCAGTGAGCTAAGGTCACACCACTGCACTCCAGCCTGGGCAACAGTGAGACTCGGTCTCAAAAATACAAAATGAAAACAAACAAACATAATAACACAAAAAATAACAAATATTCTACTTCAGGAACCCCACACCCATTCTTTAAAATATTTGAAACTAGTTATTAAAGTAATACATGCACATAGTAAACAATTTTTTTTTCTTTTTTTGAGAGAGAATCTCCCTCTGTCACCCAGGCTGGAGTGCAGTGGCACAACCTCAACTCACTGCGACCTTTGCCTCCTGGGTCAAGCAATTCTCCTGCCGTGGCCTCCTGAGTAGCTGGGACTATAGGCACCCACCACCACACCCAGCTAATTTTTGTGTTTTTAGTAGAGATGAGGTTTTGCCATGTTGGCCAGCCTGGTCTGGAACTCCTGGCCTCAAGTGATCCACCCACCTCGGCCTCCCAAAGTGCTGGAATTACAGGCAAGAGCCACCATGCCCAGTCCATAAACAAGCATTTTTTCTTTTTCTTTTTTTTTTTCCAAATTAATAGGTCTTTTATTGCATCATTTAAGTATCACAAGTAGGTCTTAGCTATGATAGGCATCTTGTGTGTCTGTAGCTGGACAACTCTAAGTTCTTACTCATCAGCCTGCTGAACAGTTCCTTTTTCAGAGACATAGATACCATCCAAAAATTTCCGGATATCCTTGTTTTTAACTGTTGTTGCTTGCTGAATCAAAGCCGCTGAATTTGAAACAAGCTCAATGTCATTTCCTTCAAGGATTAATTCATCTTTCTGGGCTTGTGATACTGAACAAGCAACACCTGGTCTCATTCGAACCCTGCGGATGTATTTTTCACCTAAGAAATTTCGGATTTCAACAAGAGACCCATTTTCCTGGATAACGACGTTGATGGGGAAGTGAGCATACACAGACCTCATCTTGTAACGGAAGCCCAGCGTAACACCCTTGATCATGTTCTGTACATGACTACAAATAGTCCGAACGGTAGCAAGTTCCTTTCGGTTACCCCACCATTTGTCAACGCGGAGCCTCTTTTTTTTCTTTCCAAGAAGACTGAGTTCTACATTGATGTGATTGAAGTCCCTCCGAAGGGTTCCTCCGAGGCCCTTCACGATAACTGTGCGTCCCTTCAGAGTAATGTCGACATTTTCTGGAATGTCGACAGTCTGATTGCTGAGAATGGTTTTCATTCTCGCAGTAAACGCAGCAAAGAAGGAACGTCTTTCCTCATCACGTACTTGTATCCCGTAAGGGGAGGGGCCTGCGTCAACAAGCATTTTTTCAAATGTAATAACTCCCTTAACTGACAAAGTTTTCCTTCCCATCCAAATCTCATTTACTGCTGGTAACATTTTCTGTATTCATCCAGAATTTTTCTATGCATATGCAAACATATGCATACATACCTATGTTTTCTAATATGTTTTTCTCCATTTTTAGTTACCAATACATCTTGAACAATCTTCCTTATTTATTTTTTTTGAGACAGAGTCTTGCTCTGTCACCTAGGCTGGAGTGCAGTGGCACAATCTTGGCTCACTGTAGCCTCTGCCTCCCAGGTTCAGGGAATTCTCTGGCCTCAGTCTTCCGAGTAGCTGGGATTACAGGCGCACACTACCACACGTGGCTGATTTTTACATATCTTAGTAGAGATGGGGTTTTGCCATGTTGGCCAGGCTGGTCTTGAACTCCTGACTTCAAGTGTTGTGCCTACTTAGGCTTCCTAAAGTGTTGGGATTACAGGTGTGAGCCACCGCACCTGGGCGAACGTTCCTTATTAACAAAGAGTCTCCGTCCACTTTTTCAGTGGCTACCCACATGGGTGAGCCTTATTTATTCAACTTGTTCCTAATAAGGGGCACTTAGGTTGTTTTCTGCTCCCTGTAATTAACAACACTGCTGCAGTGAATAACTTGTTTAATGGCTTTCTGTTAATCAAACGTTAGAGTCTCACAATGATCCTGAAAGGTTATTTACCTAGGAGGAAACAGGCAAAGAGAGGTGCAGGTACTTGCTGGTATTCCAACAGGAAGTGTGTCTTGGAGGAGCTGGCCCAGGCAGGCTAGTGCCAGGGCCTTACTTTTTTTTGTTTTTTTGAAACAGAGTCTCATTCTGTTGCCCAGGTTGGAGTGCGGTGGCTGAGTTATGGTTCACTACAGCCTCAGCCTCCCAAGTGCCTGGCACAGCAGCCTCCTGAGTAGCACCATCACGCTCAACTAATTTTTGTGTGTGTGTGTTTTCTTTTTATAGAAATGGGGTCTTGCCATGTTACCCAGGCTAGTCTTGAACTCCTGGGCCCAAGAAATCCTCCCACCTCAGTCTTCTAAAGTACTGGCATTATAGTTGTGAGCCACCGTGCCCAGCCCAGAACTTCACTCTTTTTGTTTTTGTTCTTTGTTCTTTGTTTTTTTTCCTGAGATGGAGTCTTGCTCTGTCCCACAGGCTGGAGTGCAGCAGTGTTGATCACCATACCATGCTGCCTTCATTCTAAGTGCAAAGGTGTGAAATGCTGGCTTAAGGAGCCAGTGCGGTTTAAATTTAAATGTTACTGACAAATTGTCCTCCAGTGATATTGCAACAATTCAGGTTCCCCAAAACACATGAGCTTCTCTTTCCTTATATTATTATTATTTTGAGATGGAGTCTCACTGTCACCCAGGCTGGAGTACAGTGGCATGATCTCAGCTCTCTGCAGCCTCCGCCTGTTGGGTTCAAGCAATTCTGCCTCAGCCTCAGGAGTAGCTATGATTACAGGCACTTGCCACCACTCCTGGCTACGTTTTGTATTTTTAGTAGAGACAGGGTTTCACCCTGTTGGCCAGGCTGGTCTGGAACTCCTGACCTCAGGTGATCCGCCCACCTCAGCCTCCCAAAGTGCTGGGATTACAGGCGTGAGCCACCATGCCCAGCCTATTATTATTTTGAGACAAGGTCTTGCTCTATTGCCCAGGCTGGAGTGCAGTTGTACGATCATCGTTTATTACAGCCTCAACCCCCAAGGCTCAGGTGATCCGCCTACCTCAGCCTCCCTGGTAGCTCAGACTACAGGTGCACACCACTGTGCTCAGCTAACTTTTAGAGAAGGGTTGTGCTTTGTTACCCAGGCTGGTTTCCAACTCCTGGCCTAGATCCCTAGAACTCTATTTTAAAAGCAAATAAAATATTCAGTGTATTTGTTTGTAAAACAAGGCTGGGCACGGTGGCTTATGCCTGTAATCCCAGCAGTTTGGGAGGCTGAGGCGGCCAGATCACATGAGGTCAGGACTTTAAGACCAGCGTGGGCAACTTCCTGAAACCCCATCTCTACTAAAAACATAAATATTAGCTGGGTATGGTAGCATTTGCCCATAATCCCAGCTGCTTTGTAAGCTGAGGCAGGAGAATTATTTGAACCTGGGAGGTGGAGGTTGCAGTGAGCCAGAAAAAAAAGAAGAAGAAAAAATTAGCTGGGTGTGGTAATCCCACCTACTCTGGAGGATTGAACCTGGGAGGCAGGGGTAGCATTGAGCTGAGATTGTGCCACTGGACTCCAGCCTGGGCAACAGAGCAGAACTCTGTCTCAATAAATACATAAATGAGTCAAAAATTAAAAAATAAACTGAAAATAAAAAAATCAACAAAAAATAAAAACAAAAAGCAAAATAGCAATAATAATAACTAAAAAAAAATTAAAGCATTCACCTTATATTCCCAGAGATTCTGGGGGGGCTTCACACCTAATGCTTTTACACGTTCCAGCTCCATAAGGATGGCTCTCCTGTGGCTGCTGTTTTCTATGGTATATGGCGACTTGGAGAATTCTTCCTCTGTCAAAGTTAAAAGCAACCTGTGGACAGGTAGGAGGAGATTTATTTTGCAATTATATACTGGAAGAAAACTTTCTACACTCAGAGTTCCATCTTACCAACATAAATTCCTTAGGCTTGCGGGATGGTGAGACAGTTCACATTTGGCAGCATTAATAGCAACAAATAATTGAATGCTTACTATTTACCAGTGACTATCTGTAAATACTTTCATAAGTTATCACTGATTCGTAAAACAGTTCTTCAGGGTAGGTAGCATTATGCTGCTTTTGTAGGTCAGAAAACTCGCTTTGGTCGGGTGCAGTGGCCCATGCCTAATTCCAACGTTTTGGGAGGCTGAGGTGGGTGGATCACTTGAAGTCAGGAGTTTAACACCAGCCCAGCCAACATGGTGAAACCCCATCTCTACTAAAAGTACAAAACTTAGCCAGGCTTGGTGGCACATGCCTGTAATCCCAGCTACTTGGGAGGCTGAGGCAGGAGAATTGCTTGAACCCAGGAGGTAGAGATTGTAGTGAGCTAAAATCTCGCCCTGCACTCTAGCCTCCAGCCCGGGTGACAGAGTGAGACTCCATCTCAAAAAAACAAAAAAGAAAAAAAAAAAGAAAACACGCTTAGAAAAATAAGGTCACTTTCCCTAAGCATTCCTAGGTCTGTTTTGTTCCTACACCTTTGAGCTTTCAGTTATATGCTCTGACCTCTCACATATTACTCTGCTTTGGTAGGCTGAGGCAGAAGTATTACTTGAGCCTAGGTGAGACAAGCCTGGGCAACACAATGAAACCCTGTCTCTCCAAAAAACCAAAACATTAGCCAGGCATGGTGGCATGTACCTGTCATTTTAATTACTTGGGCTGCTGAAGCAGAAGGATTGCTTGAACGCAGGACTTTGAGACTGTAGTGAGTTATGACAGTGCTACTGCACTCTAGCCTGGATGACAGAGAGAGACTCTCTTGAAGAAAAAAAAAGTAGCTGTTTTACAGGAGGGATTTACTTTAATAAAAACTATTGGAGATACTGTATCTGGTTATCTGGTTTCCTCATCAGAAAACACGGATTCTGGCTGGGGACGGTGGCTCACGCCTGTAATCTCAGCACTTTGGGAGGCTGAGGTGGGTAAATCATCTGAGATCAGGAATTTGAGACCAGCCGGGCCAACATGGCAAAACCCTGTCTACTAAAAATACAAATTAGCTAGGTGTGGTAGCTCGTGCCTCTAGTCCTAGCTACTCAGGAAGCTGAGGTAAGAGAATTGTGTGAACCCGGGAGGCAGAGGCTGCAGTGAGGTGAGATTATGCCACTGCACTCCAACCTGGGTTAGACAGCAAGAATTCGTCTCAAAACAATCCCTGCAAAAAAGGCTAGGGGCGGCGGCTCACGCCTATAATCTCAAGCTTTGGGAGTCCAAGCAGGGAAGATCACCTGAGGTCAGGAATTCAAGACCAGCGTGGCCAATGTGGTAAAACTCTGTCTCTACTAAAAATTAAAAAATTAGCAAGGTGTGGTGGTGTGCACCTGTAATCCCAGTTACTTAGGAGGCTGAGGCAGGAGAATCGCTTGAACTCAGGAGGTGGAGGTTACAGTGGGCTGATATCATGGCACTGCACTTCAGTCTGGGTGACAGAGCAAGACTCCGTCTCAATGTAAAAAAAAAAAAAAACAAAAAAACAAGAAAAAGAAAACACACGAATTCCCCTCCACAGTGATTCATCATTAAAAACATCACTGTAAGCTGGCCAAAGAGCTATTAACAGGCACACATAACTACTGGTTGAGTAGTGTAAATTGTTGGTCCTTTTGTGGGTAATTTGGTGATGCTTATTAAATTTCTACAGATTTACTCCCTTTGCCCCAGCAATTCCAGCTCCATTTGTCCTCTAGAAAACTATGCAAAAATAGACTGTACTAACTAAGTAGAGAAATTTTATAACATAATTTTGGGAGAGGTGAATTTCTATGTAAAGCAAATTAAAGTAGGAGCATGTCATTTCCTCAAAAAAGAGTTAAGTATTGAAAGCTCAGCGGAGAGGAGGGAAAAAGTCACTGGAGTGGGAGGGGTGGCAGTCAGGCAGCCAGGCAGTGAGTGAAGTGGTGTGTGAAACAAACGAACTAGGGAGAGTGGCTGCTCTTATCACTATGTGATATATGTAACACCCTTACTAAGGGGGTGGATACAGATGTAAATATATATGTACATGTATATATACAAACAGATCTGTTTAGTACAATCATATTTTCAGTTTAAAATTTAAAAATACACATTTACATATTTATCTGTATAAGTACTGAAACATCTGGAAAGATGTCTAGCAAGGTAAGTGTTTTTCTGAAGATTAGGATTAAAAGGTATGTCACTTTCAATATCACATAAGTCTATATTATTATTATTACTATTATTGTTATTTTGAGACTCACTCTGTCACCCAGGCTGGAGTGCAATGGTGCAATCTCGGCTCACTGCAACCTCCGCCTCCTGGCTTCAAGCGATTTCCCTGCCTCAGCCTCCTGAGTAGCTGGGATTATAGGCATGGGCCCCCACTCTCAGCTAATTTTGTATTTTTAGTAGAGACGGGGTTTCTCCATGTTGGTCAGGCAGGTCTGTGCCCACCCAGTTCAATATTATTTTTTAAAAAATAAATATACATTTGCCAGGCATGGTGGCTCATGCCTGTAATCCCAGCACTTTGGGAGGCTGAGGTGGGCAGATTACCAGAGGTCGGGTGTTTGAGACCAGCGTGACCAACATGACGAAACCCCGTCTCTACTAAAAATATAAAAATTAGCTGGGCATGATGGTGGGCACCTGTAATCCCAGCTACTTAGGAGGCCGAGGCAGGAGATTCACTTGAACCCAGGAGGCGAAGGTTGCGGTGAGCCGAGATCACTGCCACTGCACTCCAGCCTGGGAGACAGAGTGAGACTCCATCTCAAAAAAATAAAATATAATACATATTTTTATGTTTTGAAGTAGAAAAAAAATAGAAAAATTAGCCGGGCGTGGTAGCGCCCACCTGTAATTCCACCTACTTAGGAGGCTGAGACAGGAGAATCACTTGAAACCAGGAGGCAGAGGTTGTAGTGAGCCAAGATCACACCACTACATCCCAGCCTGGGTGACAGAGAGACTCTATCTCAAA